CACTTTAAATAACCACACAGCCCCATCTAAACAGCATGAAATAGCACCCACGTATGAGCAAACCCGTCTCCTGCCATTGCTGTCTTTACAGCTTGAGAAATCCTTAAGGAAGCAACAGGATGAAAAATTGATAGAAGCATCATCTAGCCTGGGCCCTCACGATTCTAGGCCACTCAGGCCTGGGAGAGATGCTTGCAGGGCACCCTTGAACGCCTTGGTATCCTCAGATCTTCAGCGTGGACAGTCAGAAAAAAGTCAGTGCTTTCATTCTCTTGATATTGGTTTAGGGTGGGGAGGGTAGCATTTCAGGATATTTAAAAGTGATTTTTAAAAGTGATTTCTAGACTTGAACTAAAAGAAGAGAGAGGGAAGAACAGAGAACTATCGATGTAAGAGAAACACATGGATTGATTGCCTTCTGCACATGCTGTGACAACCCTTCAGTCCACAGGCCCTCTCTATCCACTGAGACAAACCAGCTAGGGCTTTAAAAGTTTGAATCTACAGGGATTTCAACCTATCCAAGGTGTTCTGCCTGTTGGAATTTCAGGATACTGTGAGACCAAAACCTTTCCAACATATGCTCTTCCTTACACTGATACAAGTTGTTAAAAGTAAGCCAGCTCAATCAAGGAAGGCCCTAGTTCTTTTATACTTCCCATTGGCCAGGATAAGCTCCTGTTGCTAGCTTCATGGAGCTGCAGGAAAAGAGGGGGGTCCTTAGTTCAAACTTCTAGAGTGGGTTTCCAAGAGAATGGGAAAAAGCTAAACTATATCTTAAAAACCTCTTTCCTGCTTGTCTATTTAGAGAATTTTTGGTCTCTTTGGTTCATGAATTAACAATGCTTTATATCATGGGTAGAGAGCCATTCACTCTTTCTCAACAGACCTCACCAGCCCCTCAGAGAAGCTTTCTGGTTAATCCAAGAAATGGAGTGCAGAGAGAAAACCCCATCTCCCCACTGCCTTGCAGAGTGGGGGTAGAGTGTGCAGCAGGTGCTGGTTGAATAAATCAGATAGCTTCCAGAGGGGTGCTCATTGTCCAGGCCTTGGCTTCCAGCTGGACTGGGGAATGGTGGCAAATCCCAGATTTCAACCCAGTTCTGAAGCGGGCACGATTGCACCACCACCGAGCCCTCTACTTGCCAGCTGTTCCTATGAAGGAGGCAGTTCCTGCAGACACAATGACAACTCCCTTCAATGTCAGTGTGTTGCAATTAACTAAGGAATCTAATTTTCACAAAAGACCAACTTATCAGTGATTGTATCCACTTACCTGGGGCACCAATCTGCTTGGCAACCTAACATTATAGAGCCTCTTTTTAATGATGCTCCTGAAAATGGGTACTTTGAAGGAAAGGAACCAGGTCCTGCCATATTTACTTTCTCCCCAGTACAAAAAAAAAAAGCCTTTGAAAAAGATTGGTGAGCTTCATAGAGGGATACATTTCTTATTTATCGAAAGCTTAAAAGAAGAAATAATTTGGATCAAATGACCTTTTGTCTTTCTAGACTTGAACTGAAAATAGAGTTATATCCAAGGTATCTCTCGTAAGCATGCACACTCAATTTCTTTTCTATTCACGGCCGTCCTCAGTCATTCCCCATAGCTTTAGCTAAGAGCAGATTTTTGAATGTTTAAAAGGACCAGAGGGTGGCAGAGCTGAGTCATTTATTTAGGCTGCTCTTGAAACAAATGAGATACATTATAAACTAATAGGTGGGAAGTTACTGGTATTAATCTGACTGCTTAATTGCTATCTCCTAAATTTGGCTTCCAGGAATAGCTGCAGTTTTGGGGGTGGGTGAACTCAACTCCTCTGTGCCAGTATAAACTCTCCCTTCATGCATAGAAACTGGTCTATACATGTGTAGGGTGTGAAAACCAGTGAACCACTCATTACACCTAAGTCAGTTTCCCCCTCAGAGTGGCACTTGGCAGGTGTAGTGCTAAGCCATGGTATCCTCTAAACCATAAATTCAAAAAGTATTGTCCTATTTGTTGGAGCCACCTAAAAAGTATTTGGCCTAAATCATCTAGTTTGATTTTCTATAATGATGAAGTACATGAAGTTTATTGCTAAATCCTTACTGACATTATACACGAATGAGAATGTCTTCTGGAGCATGCGCCCTGTAGGCATGATACCAGTTTTGACTTTATAATGGCTGATGTTTACCCCACCACGGTTCCCCTTTGGTAAAGCAGAGCAAGAGAAAAAATGAAACTGCCAATTTTTCAAAGGAGGGCAACAAGAATTGTGTGGGTCCACGTACGTGTGTACATATATGTGCGTGTCCACCGGGGAGGTTCAGAAGTCAGGGTTACATTAAACTTGTGGTGTGAATGTCCCGAAGACCAGCTCAAGCACAGTTAGAGCAAGGAGGGAGTTAGAGGCCACCTACGCCACTCTCCCCACGTGCATTTAGAGAAAGTAAAGCTTAGTCATTTACCCCAAGTAACCCAGCAGGTTAGAGGCAGGCCTAGAATTCAGGTTCCTTGCCCTGCTGTAAGGCATCCACTCACATTTGTTTTCCATGAGGGATGCCATGTTTGGAATAATCCGAGAGAAGATTCCAGTGACATCCCCGTTCTGTGTCCTAAGGAGATCATTCTGTTGTCTGTTGGATACTGTCTGCTACACCCGGCAGCTCCCAGTGGGCCCGCAAGTTGAATATGGGCAGAAGGTCAAGGACCCAGCCGGGCTTGGGCAAATGGCCCAGGGATTTCTGTCTCAGAGATTCCAGACACTTCATTCAGGGAGCCCAGTTTGAAATCTGCAGGTTTTGCTGTTTGGGTGGAGACAGAATGTCTCAACAATTGGCACTGTCTCTCGTCCCTGACAGGGCCTGGCGCCTTCGTTGCCTGACTCACCCAAACTTCAGGCTTTCTGAATTCAGACCAGCAATGAGTAAAGTAGGGAGAAGGGCCTCTTTAATTTTTTCATTAAAAAGTAATTTTTCTTTTAAATAAAGTGCTAAGTGAAAGGGGCTAATAGCCTCTTTGAAGACTCATGAATGGAGCTTCCCCCTTAAATAAAGTGAACATCGTGCTGGCAAAAGGTGCTAACAGCAGCTCAAAATGGTAGTGTTCCAATCCCTCTACTTTTCCTCCACAGACACAAGTTTATGGTGGGAAAGGATGGTCTTGGATGAGAGCCCCCCCCCCCCCCCCACTTGGCTCCCCTCTGTCAGTGCTTCTCAGAAAAAGATTCCAGGTTTTGCCCACATTATCCGGGGCCAGAACACAGTTCAGCTCTCTGGTTTGCATAGCCCCAAGAAGGGGAGGCATGACTCACTGGCCTTGGAAGCCCCTGAAAACAGCTCTGTCCTCAAGCCCCAGAGCCAAATCCCTTTTTGGCTGCATAGTGCATCTCCTTTACCTAAGTCCTTCTAGATCCTTGTCTTGGCCTCTGTAGGCATCAGCGATTGTGCCTCAGGGAACAGGAGAAGAGTCCCTATGGAAAGGTGCTTTAGGGAGGGGTTAGGCTACCAGCGTCTCATCTGGGTCCTGCCCCTGGTTGGGGACACTCTAAAGACACAAGTGAAACCCCAAGCCGCAGTACAAACTGATTGTCAGCTCTGTCTTACCATCGACTGACTGAGCCAAAGCCAAGACACTAAAGTGCAAAGAAAGAAGTGGAACCCGGTATCCTGGTTACTGACCAGAGCGGGGAGAAGGCCACAGCCGTGGTGCCAGTGCTGCAGGCCTGGTGGGGTTGGCAGAGAGGGGCAGAGGCTGCCAGAGACAGCCCCTCTTTCCTCTGCAGCCCCCCTTGCAGGCTGCCATCTGGGAGCAGCTGGGCCCTTCTGCTGGATCTCCCTCCCCTTACAATCCATGTTCTAGTCTCTCCTTTCTTTCTGGGGTGCCCTCCCTATCTGGGGTTAGGTCTGGCACATCAAAGTTAGAAGGAAAGAGAAATAGTTGTCCAACTTTCCTAAATGTTAAAGCTAAACAAAGCACCGAAAAAGAAAAGAAAAAGACTTATAAAAATATAATGGGGTCACCCCCCCCCCCAAGCTCCCACATTATTTGCGGTACATGAAATGTCAAAATATAATGAATAGACTTTCCACACATTCCCATTTCTTCCCACCCGTATATATCTAAGCTGTAGCAGCTTCAGTACCCGCCTCTCCCTCTTAAAACTTCACTCTGCAGAACCACCTATAATAAATTCATTCCACCGACCCCACCTTCCCAAATATATAGCCATTTGCAATTCCAAAGAGACTTTCCAAAAAAATAGACATTTGAAAAAGTGCATCTGTTTACACTCAAGTCTATGCACATTATTTCTTGAGATTATTACTTTTTTTTTAACCATAAAAAAGATTGCATATTGGCAATATAACGAGAAGACCATGGTGGCGTTTCTGGGCGGCGGTGGACGGTAAGGGGGTGCGTGCTGGAGCACAGAAGCGAGAGGTGGGCAGGCGCGACCCTTAGCCTGAGCCGTGAGGACTGCGCAGGGTTATCTGCATTCTCCATCCTTGCGCCTCTGAAATGTCCCATCTCTTTAGTCACTCCCTTCTGCGTTCCAGCTCTTCCCACGCGCACTGCCACGCTCTGGCCGCACAGCCCTGTGGAAGCAGAGGCGGAAGCTTTGGCATGTGTCCACCTGGGTGGGCGTGAAGATAGGCATGGCGTTTGGAGGGGTGTGATGCGGCCACACACCAGAGCAAGCTTATTTGTGACTGTTTCCACTCTGGGAAAAAAGTGTCCATCACTTCCGTGACTTTAATAATTTAAGCAGTTACTAGGCTGATAGGTTAAGAAACATCGTTTGTTCTTGTGGATTTGCATTAATAGTAAGCATGAATATATATCATATATTACATTGCTTTTCTTCTGCTCTGGGGCAGGCTGCACTCTCCTTCCAAACTGGAAAACTGTACAGCCCGTGGACACCCCTCCCCCCCCAAAAAACCCCCTCCCTTCCTCCCCACCCCTCAGTTCCTATGTTAGAAACCCCCTCCCCACAGCTCCCCGTGGTTAAATAGAGAGTGCCACATTGTAAGACTCATGCATCGCTGCCTCTTGCTATCGCCCTCGGTGCAGAGAGAGTGGGATCCTGTGTGCGTGCCCCGCCCTCTCCCGCCCCTTCCTCGCCTCTCAGATGCCTGTGCTGGCTCTACCGCCCGCTCCCAGCCTCCCCCGTCCCAGACCCGTCACTGGTTGTGGACGTCCTCCCTGCGGACGATCTTGTAGATGATCCAGTAGAACATGTTGAAGATGAGGAAGGCCATGGGGAAGCCGATGCGCGATATTTTGTCGATCTTCTTGGCCCTCTGGATGAAGAGTTTTCGCATCTCCTCCGGCGTCTTGGACGGCGCAGGAGCGGGATTGGTGGTGTTGTTGTTGTTGGCGCCCTTGACCGAGATGCCATCCTTGGCCTGTAGACAGGCTGGGCCCATCCCATAGGCAGAGAAGTTGAAGCGGCCCTCTCCCGCCTCATCCTCCTGGAATAGATTCAACATGGGGCTCTACTTAAAATAAGACAGGGGCTGGGCACCCTCCCTGCAAGGCACTCCCCGGGGCCAGGCCATGCCTCTGGCTCTCCCGGCCTCCCTGCCTCCCTCCAGGATTCTGAGGCTTTCTGGCTGGCTGGGGAGTTATGCCTTATAGAGGGGCGCCGCTCGCGTGCCTTAAACAGATGCAAACCAGGGGATAGAAACGAGGCGTAGGATCCTGAGACCCGAGTTCGCCTGTCAGCTCTATTACCTTCTAACTGTGGGACCTTAGGCAAGTCACTTTCTCCTGTGAGTCTCAGGGTTCATTTTATTGCATTTTTACCTACAAGTGGGGTAAGAGTCATCTCACTACCTCAAAGGTTCTTTTGCCCATCAGAGGTCAGAGATGAGTACACACTCAGGATGCTGCTTTATTGGAAATCCAGGGGACAATTTGGAGAGATCCCCTGCTTTGCTTCTGTTGCCTCCTTGCCCTCCTCCCCCACCCCCCTCCCCAGTTAATATCTTCTTGTGTGTGGGTGGGGGCGAGGGGGCGAATTGTCCAGGAGGGAGCGAGTGAATGCTGTGGGCCTCACCTGTGTTTCTTAAGCCGGGAAGCGACAGCTTCTTCCTACTTCCATGTCCCCATATCCCTGGCAGTTGTGGCCTCAGACATAGCTCTGGGCCTATATCAGGTTTTCATTCAAGGCCCTTCATTATTTGGCTCCCACTTACCTTTACAGCAGTGGTTCTCAACCTTCCTAATGCCGCGACCCTTAATACAGTTCCTCATGTTGTGGTGACCCCCCAATTTCATTGTTACAAATTGAACATAATTAAAACATAGTGATTAATCACAAAAACAGTATGTAATTATATATGTGTTTTCCGATGGTCTTAGGCGACCCCTATGAAAGGGTCGTTCGACCCCCAAAGGGGTCGCGACCCACAGGTTGAGAACCGCTGCTTTACAGGCTTTTCTCTCCGTGTGCACACCTGCCAGCATTGTGGCACTTCCTGAGTGATCCCTGTGCACCCCACCTCCCTTAGGCTCACATTAACACGACTGCTGCCCTATCCTTCTTGTCTCTCCCTCCCTGAGCTAAGTCATCTTGCCTGGATCAGAATCATGGAGGCTCCATTGTCTGCTCTCGTCGTGTGTAGCTTTGTGTCCTTTCCATGTGAGCTCTGAGGGAGGACCCTGCCTGCCTCTCCAGTCTCATCTGTGCTGTTCTCTCTCTGGCATCCTGTGCTCCACTCACCCTGAAACGTTTCCATGGGGTCAGAAATGCCACACTCGCTCTCTAACTCCGGGCCCCTAGTCCATCTGTCCTCTCTGCCTGGGGCACACTCCTAGCTCCAGTCCTGCTTCCAACTCCTTCTCTTCCACTGAATTCTTACTCAGAAGACTTTGAGCCCAGAAATAGGCTAGGAGTCCCTGCATGTTGTCCATAAGGTCCCTGTACACTGCCCCCCCCCTCCTTGAAGCTCTTAACACATTGTATTCCTTAATTGATGTCTACCTCTCTCATTATACTGTAAGCTCTGTGAACTCAGAGCAAAGTCTATGACATTCATTGACCCCTCAACACTGAATGGACATACGAACAGGGCAAGGTCACTTAGCGCAGAAACGGAGAGACGAGAAGGATGAGGGCAGCAGGCATGTTGGTAGTGAGCCTAAGGCAGGGAGTTGGGGACGCACAGGAGCAACAGAGAAAGTGAATAACTAATAAATGAGACGATGGCAGTGTAGGTAAAGGCCGGTACTCGCTGCCTCCCACCACCACACCAAAATGACAACTAAATTACAGAACAACTGTCATTCAGAACTACCTGAAAGCTGGCTGAATGGAAGTCCTACAACTAGAAAAGTAAAAAAGAAAGCACACTGAGACTGGTAGGAGGGGCAGAGGCATGGAATGGGCTGGTCCAGCATCCACGTGTACCATTTTTTTTTAAACCGCAGAGGCCACCGTGAGGAACAAGGAGTCCCAGCCCCACACCAGACTCCCCCCCACCGAGGGTCCCAGAACTGGGAAGAGAAGTCCCTGTAACTTCAGACTGTAAAAACCAGCAGGGATTGTGGCCGAGGACACGGAGGTTGCCTGAGACCCAGGTTTTTCTCTTAAAGGGCGAGGCATGAACTTACTCAGATTCGCTTCCTCTGAGCTCCAGTGCCAGGAGGCATTGGGAGATCTAGACACATAAAGGGAGGAGCTGGATTGTCTGGCTTTGGGGTAAGAATTTGGGGGTGGCTCACAGGGGTCATTGTTCCTACGCCAAGACTTTCTCTGCCCCAGGGCTGACTGGTAACCATATCTGAGCCCCATCAACCTGGAACACGCTGTTTGCTCTGCCCTGGTGATTCCCTGAGACCCCGCCCCATCCAATTTGTAGCCCCACCCAAGCTGTATGCAGCAACTTTTCCATATGAATGGCTTATCTTGGCTCAGGCTTCAGACTTTGCTAATATCTCTCAAGCTGCATTTGGTGTCAGTGTGCCCCAAACTTATCAATAAAAGGCCCAAGACCTGGCACCAGCACCAGCCTGCTTTGCTTCACAGCTAGGCCTCACCTGGGCACTTCCAAACCTGATATAAATAGGAGGAATCTGCAGATCTCTCTGTAGCTCCTGCTGGGTAGCCTCAGTCAGTGGCTGACTTTGCACCTCCTGGGAGGCCACAGAGCAAGCGCGCCTGGTAGACAGTTTCAGACCATAGCAGATTACAACTCTACAAATTTACAAGCAACACTCAAGGGGCAGACTCAGCACCAAAGCCCCGCTGAAGCAATCCTGCTCCATACAGGTGTCTCCTGCACAGCAGCTCTCCCACTGTAGTCACAGCTAGTCCTCACAGCCAATTGGCTTGGAGGTCAATTCCAGTGACACCCACAGCAATCAAATGTGAAGATGAGGCTGGAGAGAAGAGTGGGTTCTCTGATCCTCCTGGGGAAGTAGCTATGGACCAGTTGTGGGGCCAGTTTGCTCCCACAGGCTCTCCAGTGGAATTTGGTGGTTGGTGACTTTTCAGAGATGGCCTGCCAAATATTCAATCCCTTAGTGAGAGAATCCTTTCAGGGGAGGATCTTTCCTGATGCCGCTTTCTTGGAAGTAGGAAGCAGAAGCCTGGAATGTGGACATTCTACTCTGAGATCTCACCTTCTGTGGTACAGTTCCCCTCTGGAACCACGCCCACTGAAATAGTGCAGCCTTGCAGGAAGCACTAATAAGCATCTCGCAGCCTGCCATGCTTTGGGTTTTTAGCTAGTCATTATCTTGGTGCCATCAGCATTTGCTCTATCAGTTCTGTCTTTGGGTGCAATCTGATCATTTCTGCAGTGTTATCACAGTTGAAAGAGTGACTGCCTATAGACCCAACTGGGGCCTTATTTATGGGAGAGGAAGCCAGGACTTCTATGACTTTAATTTCTGTTTCATGCCTGCCTTTCCCACTGAGAAGGATGGTCCAGCAAAACAAGTATCACAAGACAAAGCTGCCACCAGCTGTCCCTCCTCCCTCAGGCAGTGACCCAAAGACCTACCTTGTGGTGTCTTCGCTTCCTCCTGAACCGGAGCAGCTCTTTGTGCTGCCGAGACACGAAGTTGACAGCAGCATACTCAAGCAAGGCGGAGAACACAAAGAGCAGGCACACCGCCATCCAAATGTCAATGGCTTTCACGTAGGACACCTGAGGCGGGGTGGGGGAAGAACACAAGAGGAGGGTGGAATATTGAGCATGGTGGAATGTTTTCTGCTGCTCAGTAACTCCTCTCATCCCCCACTGCTGTCCTCTCCTCAGCTGGGATATTAGGGTGGAGGCTACAGAAAACAAAGAAAAACAAATCAGGAAGACCGGGCAGAATATTGGGCACAACAGAACACGGTGCCTGGAAGAGTACTGGTGAGAGGAGGACGGTGGGCCCAGGATTAGTATTCAGTGGAACAGAATGCTGTGTTTAGTCTCAGGGTGAAGGAACGGGATGCCACACCTAATGTCAAAGTGGAGCATGCCAGGAAATTGTGGAGTAAGAGTTTCAAAAACTTGCTCCTCCATCAAAGTCACAAGAGCACCAGCAAAACTGGTCACAATAGCCCTGACTGGTTTGGCTCAGTGGATAGAGTGTTGGCCTGCGGACATAAGGGTCCCAGGTTCGATTCCGGTCAAGGGCATGTATCTTGGTTGCGGGCACATCCCCAGTAGGGAGTGTGCAGGAAGCAGCTGAATCGATGTTTCTCTCTCATCGATGTTTCTTTTTTCTTTTTTTTATCTTTTTTTTTTTATCAGAGAATCAAAATGTTTATTTTCATTCTTACAGATTCTATAGAAATGAACCCAAATGAAACAGATATGTACATATACATATGTACAAAGTTTTACTTCTGAATAAGAATCTATAAAAGTAGATGGTTGAAAATAAAACAAAATGAAACAAATAAACAAACAATAAACGTAAATGGATTTCAAACCAATACTATGAAACTGATTTTCTCCAAATAAAGTAAGAATAATCTTAAATTGCTGGTTGTGGCTGGTTTTCCAGGTTATTTACATATTTTATTGTGGTCATCTATATCATCGATGTTTCTAACTATCTATCCCTCTCTTCCTCCCTCTCTGTAAAAAATCAATAAAATATATATATTTTTAAAAAAGGTCACAATAAACTTTTTTCAGAACTCTGGTAATTAGCCATTAGACAACTGAATCTCAGTGAGAACAGCAAGCTTTTAGTATTTTAAAAAGCTTCATTGAGATATAATTCACATACTGCACAATGCACACATTTAAAGTGTTCGCTTCCATGATTTGTTATACATTCACAGATAATGTGCAACCATCAGCACAGTCCATTTCAGAACTCTTATCACCTCAAAATAAAAACCTAGTAACTTTTAGCTGTCATCTCTCTATTGCCCCAATTCCCCTACCCCTGGTCCTAAGCAACTAGTAATTTATTCTCTGTCTCTAGAGATTTCCCTGTTCTGGACATTTGATATGAATGGAATAATATGTGAACTTTCATGACTAATTTCTTTCACTTAGCATAACATTTTCAAGGTTTATCCATATTTTAACATGTATTAGTATTTCATTTAAAATATATGTATATATATTGATTTCAAAGAGGAAGGGAGAGGGGGAGAGAGAGAAACATTAATGATGAGAGAGAATCATTGATCATCTGCCTCCTGCCCCACACTGGGGATCAAGCCTGGAACCTGGGCATGTGCCCTGAAGGGAATTGAACTGTGACCCCCTGGTTCATAGGTCGACGCTCAACCACTAAGCCATGCTGGCAGGGCAGTATTTCATTTTTAATGGCCAAGTAATATTCCATTGTATGAATATACCACAATTTGTTGATCCATTCATTAGTTGATGGGCATTTGGGTTGTGTCTACCTTTTGACTTTTACAAATAATACTGCTACAAACATCTGTACAATTTTTTGTGTGGACATATGTTTTAATTTCCCTTGGGGCTTTGTGGTGTTTTAAATTGCCCCATTCCTATCCCCTTCCCTCAGCTCCATGCCAGCCTTGAAAACCAATGTCCTGGCAGCCACTGATGGGGCAGATCAGAGTGGGAGCTTGTGCAAAGCTCCATCTCCAGAGAACTGTCATATTGGACCTAACGTGGGGCTCACTGAAAGTTGCTGGCCCAGTATGACAGCCTCTCCCTGGGGGCGTTTGATGAAAACAGTGACAACTGTTGAGCGTCAGGTAACCATCCAGGCAAACAATAGGTTGATCAAAAAGCAAACAGGAAAGCTAGGGTTGAGATGTCCGTAGGGGGCTTGAAATTACAGTGTTATTCCTAATTTAATAATAATTATTCAATTAATGTTAATTTTTTAGATGTCATACTATCATTATGATCCCTATTCTTTATTGTCATGATATGGGTAGCTTTCAAATACTTGAGCAAAAACTGCATCTATCTACCCACTTCCCTTGCCCACCTACCTATTTATACATAGAGGGACAGAGATGAAGGGAATGAGGCAAAGTGCTAACAATTGGAATGCAGGTAAAGGGTGTGATAGTGCTCATTGTGTGTTATTTCAGTGTTTCTGTATCAAAACAGAATGTTAAGTGTGGCATTAATTGGACATTGTGCAGCACATTGCATTTAAAATGAGGCTGAGGGAGCAGAGGGTGGGGTCTGGCATTGGGAGCAGCACAGAATGTTGCATCTAGTGTTGGGTGGATAAAGCAGAATGTGTCTGCAAGGACAGCAGGGAATGTAGGTGGAGGCAGTGCCTAGCGTTAGAAGAGAGCACAGCAGAATGGGGCACCCGGATTCACAGCGAAGGGAACAGAACTTTGGATCTCGAGCACGGGGGAACGGAGGAGTATGTGGTGTTTGGCATTAATAGTAAATGAAGCAGCACATTGTCTGATGTTACAAGTGAATTAAGCAGTATGTGAGCTCTAGTGTTAATAGTGAAGGGAACAGAACGGTACATTTACAGCAAGGGTGACTGGAGGAGAGTTAGTGTCTGCTGTCAGTAATGAATGAAGCGGAATGCTGTGCCTGGCCTCGGAAGAATGGAGCAGAATGTTGTGTCTGGCCTAGAACGAATGAAGCAGAATGCGTACCTGGCATTACTAGTAAACGGAGTGAAATCTGCGGTCTAGGGTTAATAGTGAATGGAGCAGCATACAATTCAAGAGTTAATAGTGAATGTACTAGAAAGTGGTGTTTAACATTAGAAATATAAGAATCAGATTGAGGTATGTGTAGAGGAGGGTTAGCGTATCAGGCATAACATATGAGGCTGCGTTCTTACAAATGACCTGCTTGCAAGGCTGGCCCTTGGAGGACATCTGGGAACTTGGAATTGGGGTTGTTCCCACTTTCCCTAACTGATAAGGGTGCTTGGACTGCTTGTACAAACAACATGGTTTATGCTGAACATCTGTTTTCATTCTGGGGGTCTGGAATTTTGTTATGTGCTAGGCACCCAGCACCCAGTAAAAACCTTCAATAATGAATCTTTAAAAAAAAATAAGTTTTTTTTAATTGATTTTAGGGAGAAGGGAGAGGGAGAGAGGGAAACATCAATGATGGGAGAGAATCATTGGTAGGCTGCCTCCTGCACATCCCCTATTGGGGATTGATTTCACAACCTGGGCATATGCCTCAACTGGGAATTGAACTGCGACCTTCTGGTTCATGGGTCGAAGCTCAACCACAGAGCCACACCAGCCTGGCCCAATAATCAATCTTAAATGAATCTCTAAACACTTTCTCTCTCTGGGCAGAAACATTTCACACTTGTGCTGCCTTTTGTTGCTGGGTAAGAGGGTGCTCTCTGTGGTCCCTCATGGGAGGGAGGGACAGAGCAAGGAAGCCTGCCCAAGGATTCCTCCAGACTCTGCACATGTCATTTTCCTTGTCATCTAGCTGTGCATCCTGGATATACATACCACTCTAAGACGTCTGAGTGTTGAGTACAACTATATGCTGAGTCTTTGAGTCCTCTCAAGTCTCTGAACATGGGGGTGGTCTTGGAGACGCCAAGACAGAGTATCTACATTAATGGTGAAAGGGGTGGAATGTTGTACTTGGCACTAAAAGTGAATGGAGGATTTGAGTGTTAACATTAAATGAAGCAGAATGTGTGTCTAATGTTGGTAGAGAATGGAGCGAAAGGTGTCTGGGGATTGCATTGAACATAATGTTTCCTTCCCCTCCTTTTCTTTCTTTCCTCCCTCCCTCCTTCCCTCCCTCCCTCCCTCCCTCTCTCCCTTCCTTCCTTTCTTTTGCATTTGTATTGAACCTAATGTTAAATCTGGAGGAAGGTTTTCTTGAATCAGAGTGCTGGACCCTGCCAAGTGTGGTAAATGAAGAAATAGTGACTAATTCCTTGCGCTGTCCTTATCGCAGGCAGGGGAGGGAGATGAGTGTCCTCCTACCTGTCCAGGTGCTCCGTGCACTTGGGCAGTGGGACTTACCTTGGGCAGGGACGCTCGGGAGCCAGAGCTCTGGGTGGTCATGGTGAGCACGGTGGTGATGCCCAGTCCCACACGGGCTGGTGCAGCATCCATATTGATCCAGAAGGAAATCCAGGAGAGGATGACAATGAGCAGGCTGGGAATGTACATCTGGATCAGGTAGTAGCCCATCTGTCGCTCCAGGTGGAACCGAGCCTCAATGCAGGTGAATTTACCTGCAAGAAATTATAATGAGAAGGCAAAGTGGCCTAGTGGACAGGAACAAGACTTTGAGGTCAGAACAATCTTGTCTATGGAAAATTGGGGATGATGATGAAGATGACAATAATAATAATAAATACCTACCTCACATGTTTACTCATATGGTAATTGTGATGAGAGAATGAGATGGTGTCTATAAAGAACTTAGCACAGTCCTCACACATCATTAGTGCTCGGCAATGTCAGTTGCGATCCTCATCCTCACTATTTTGTTGCAAAGAGTGGGCCTAAGTAGACCATTCTCTTTCCTTCTGCCAGTTTTCTTCCCAAAACATGACTTGATCCTGTTACTTCCCTTTGTAAAACCTTTCTTTCCTTCCTTCTCTCCTCATACAAGAAGGTCCCCATTACCTGCAGGGAAAGTTCAAACTCTTTAGTCTGCCCTTCACAATGGAGCGCTGCCTGCTTTTCCATCCCACGTCCCTCCTTTCTTCACCTTAACCGGGACCACCTACACTCCATCTCTTGCCTTGAGCAGTTCCTCTGACACAGAGACACCAGAGGTCCCACAATACCAGCTCTTCCTTCTGCCTTAGGAATTGGGTCCATTCTGAGTTAGGTACCCTGCTGCCTGGAATAAAGACTATCTCCCAGCTTTCTTTGTAATGAGCTGGGACCTAAGTTTAAGTTACTTGCCCCAGGACTCACAGGAAGAAAGGGTCAGAGCCATTTTAATAAATATATAACCACTAGTAAGAAACCCAGAGCTCTATCTATCATGTTGAAGCAATGACTGAATGAATGTTTGAGATGATCTCTGGCCCTGGTGGGGGGTGGGACCTGCAGAGGGTGGCCCCTCGCACCTACCTGTGTTGTAATGCTTGGTGCAGTATCTCAAATCCTTCTCCTCCTTCAGGATAAACTGGGGCAGAGTTAGTCCATCTGCCACCTGCACAGCTCCCTGCTCCTGCCACTCAAAGATGAGGTCATTCATGGTATAGCCAACTGGGATGGGATCAGAAGAAGAAGAAGCAATCACCACCCAGAAGCACTTATTTGAGGCGTGTCTGGCTTTAGGGTTAGAGAGAGAGGCATCAGGCACTTGAGGGAACTCATGAAACCATGTTGCTTCCTCCCCCCTCCACATAGGAAGATAAAACTGGTTTAATTGTTTATATTTACCCCACAACCCTTCTCCCTCTCTCCCTACAACTCCCAGCACCCTACCATAGCGTGTCCTGTTGCCCCTCCCCCTTACCTCCTGGTCAAGTTTAGTTGACATCTGCTATTCCTGCCTGTACACCATCCTTGCAAGCTCCCTCTTTTGCTCACAGCAGACTTTCCTCAGGGGAATGACTCTACCGGGTGCTTTTGTGGTGGGACTATCATTTGGGGGCCGAAGTGTGAGATGCTGACTCCACGAGGCCTATCAGACTCTCTGCCCCAAGACTTTGGCCCTTGGGTGAAGTCACAGGAGGCTCAGCGTTGGCTGGTGCTGATTGTCTCCAGAGGTGTTGCTCCTAGGGGAGGACCCATTAGTCCCTGCTGCCTAAATGCTCTGCCCCAGTTTCTGTACTTTTGGTTTCTCCTACCAGTCCACGAGGAACCTCCATATCTTTCCACTTAATATTTTTAAAATGCGTCTGATTGCTCTCTGGGTTTACGGTAAAAGAATCCAGCTACCTACCCCAGCTGTTAAAATCCTGGTTCACTTGATCTCCATAAAGCCTTCTCCCGTACCGTCCCTCTTTCCCAATCAGAAGGAAGCCCGCTTTCTGCCACGAGGCCACCCTCTTTTCTACTTCTAATAGAACAGTTACCACTCGCTGCCCTGTGTTAGCCAGTCATCTGTCTCCCTGCTGGAGGGAGCGTTCCCGTAAGTTCAAGGACCATGCCTTATTCCAGCTATTTCCCCGTCACTCCCGGGGAGCATGTTCATGAGGGACAGGGGCAGTGCCTCTCTGGAGAATGCTGCTGGCTCCAGAGCTGGGCCTCAGACAATATAAGGGGAGTTATATTTCTAAAGCATTTTCTAGGAGCCAAGCCCCTCATCTGGCCTTTTGAGCTATTGCAGTAATCTCCCGGGGCCCAGCGGTTAGGAGCAGCTGTGTGGGGATTTCTGCCAGTCCTGTGGGTAAAGGGGAGACTGGTTCTTTCTAGAGGCCTCACGTGAAGGACTCACAGCTTTCCAGTTGCATGATACACGTCTGGACATCCATGGGAAAATTCTTCAAGTCCATGGGGCAGGCCAGCGTCAGGGTGATTCTGGGGAGAGAAGGGAGTCGAATGACACTGGGTCCACAGATCAGGGAAGCTGTGCCTCCATTCTAGTTATACCAGAAACCACTTAACTCGGAGAGGTCAAGGGGTCAAGGAGGTCAGGGAATCAACATATGTACATTTCCACACTTCAGATATGTAAATGGCTCTCAGAGAGATGAAGGTCACGGAGAGTCAATAGAACTTCTGTGTTTCTTTGGAGTCTGTCTGGTTCCTAGGGGCCTGCCTTTAGCAAGGTGCCCGAAGACCTGGATGCCGGGGGGCTGCCCCCCAGTCCCGCTCTTCTGCAGAGGCCTCCGGTAGGGGCAGGGCCTGCATGATCCTTGAGCAGCACCAGGCCTCAGGCATTCCCAGGTGCACTGGCAGCAGGTGCCGCCAGTGGTTCTTGACTCCCTCCCTTCATATCCTAGGCCCGTGGTCGGCAAACTCATTAGTCAACAGAGCCAGATATCAACAGTACGATTGAAATTTCTTTTGAAAGCCAAATTTTTTAAACTTAAACTATATAGGTAGGTACATTGTTATTAACTTAATTAGGGTATTCCTAAGGCTTAGGAAGAGCCACACTCAAGGGGCCAAAGAGCTGCATGTGGCTCACAAGCCGCAGTTTGCCGACCACTGCACCTAGGCTCATCAAAAGTTATTTCAAAAGATCTCCAAACAGCTGGTGTCCAAACACAGCTGGCTCACATCTGTGGGCTCCTGCTGGTGTCAGCTGGGAAGTGGTGGGCACCCCTGGCTTCTGGGCTAGCTGTTTATTCTGGGTTGTTCAACCCTTGCAGAGGGCTGCAGCCTCAGACCCAGAGGAAGCCCCCTTAACAGAACCCGCGGTCTGAGCTCCGGCTGGGATACAGGCTTCTGCTTGAATGGCCTTTGCCAATATCTGAGCACCTGCTGCAGGGGATGGAGAAGAAAGAGCCTTAGATCATCAGGCCAACTCCCTCATTTGACAGGTGAGGTGCAGAGGAGGGTAGGGAGGGAGGGACTTGTGTAAGGTCACACAGCAAGCTGATGGCTCAGGCAGGATTTAACCAGGTCTCCCAGCCTTGGGATGCTGACGTGGATGCTGGCTGGCTGGCTTCCCAGCACTGCTGTCCTGAAAGGCACCGAGTTGATAGTGATCACTCAGTGCTGGCGCCCTGGCTGCATGTGGTGAGGCACCAGGCCCTGTGTGAACCTCTGCCCTCCAGCTCACATCCACAGCTCCCATGTGGGTCCCTTCATGCACAAAGTAGAAGCAAGAGGGGGAAAAGGAGAAGGGAAGGGAGGGGGAGATGAGAGAAAGAGAAGGGAAGAGGAGGAGGGGGAAAGTGAATGCAGTTGCTTTCTGAAGCTAAAACCTTCAAGGTGGGGCAGCTGTCACACTGGGTTAATTTCCTGAAGTTGAATGACCTTGGGAATATCACTTTCTGATTTGTTCCTCTGTCATGCTGCACTGGGGCCTCAGCTCCCCAGAGACATGAAACTAGCCTGGCAGCAGCAAGAACCAGGCAGGGTGACCCTCCCTGACCGCCAGCCAGCCACGGCCTTGGTGCCACTTCCTGAGCCCACCACCCTTCCAGTCTGGATGGGCACTGGGTGGGGTGGGCCCCCAGGTTTGGAAGGCGCCTGCCTCCGGTTCCTCCCAGCCTGCCCCTCTGTGGTGCTACTTTCCCTGCAGAGATTTCTAAGTCTCTTCTCCTAGCCAGTCTGCTTTTCGTCCACATCTGAGGATTGGGACCTGTGCAGCCTCTTCTATGAGCCTGGGCATTTAAAGCTCACCTTCCAGCCCAGTGGTTGAGCTTCGACCCATGAACCAGAAGGTCACGGTTCAATTCCCAGTCAGAGCACATGCCTAGGTTGTGAGCTGGATCCCTAGTAGCGGGTGTACAGGAGGCAGCCGCTAGATGATTCTCTCTCATCATTGATGTTTCTATCTCTCTATCTCCCTTCCTCTTTGAAGTCAATACAAATAAATTTTTTTTTAAAAGCTTACCTTCTAATGGAAATGAAAAGGTTTAGTCCCCTGAGGAATGGGAGGACAAAAAGGGGGAGCCGTTTAGGATCAGTGCTCCCTTTAAACCCTTTCAAATAAAAATATCTTCATTCAGCAAATATTTGAGTGCCCTTTGAATGCCACATTCCTGTTCTGTAAGGTTCTGAGTGGACATCAGATTAGCTCTGGGCACTTTGCTAAGTACTCAAACTTTCAGCTCCTCACTTGTCTAATCTGCAAAATAGGCACAATAAAACCTACTTCATTGGGTTGTGAGGAGGATTAGAAATCATCTGTGTAAAGTACCCAGCCTAGTAAGTACATTTCAGTGAATGGTGATCTATAAGAATCATATGGACATTAGTCATTTTCTTCATGTCTTGGGGGACAAGATTGGGAATTAGGTGGGGAGGGGTAGCAGGAGACTCTGAAAGTTTGCCTCTGACCAGTATCTGCAGGAAGCTGGGGAAGGGGGCCCAGCTTCTGGACCCGGTGCAAGGTAAGGAGGATGGGAAGCATTTCCAGAAGGGATGGAGCAGCCCTGACTGGTACCTGGGAGCAGTGCCACTCGCCGGCCATTTGTGGTGAAGTTGCTGGAATTTTTCAGGTTTTGTGCCTTTGCTCCTGCTATTTTTAAAAATTTCGGTAAGAACATTTAACATGAGATCAACCCTCTTAACAAGTGTTGAAGCATCCAATACAGTGTTGTTAACTATGGCACCGTGTTGTCCAGCGGTTCTCTAGAACTTACGCATCCCGCGTAGCTGCACGCTCCTGCTATCCATTGTTGCCTTTGCATCCTCTTTTTCTTTATCAAAATTCTGGGTAAGGGTAGGGGCCTAACTTTAACCCACCTTCTCCCAGATGCTCCCTGGATCTCCCTGTTAGAATAAACCACTTGCCCCTAGGACTTTGCCTGGTATTTTATTCGCACTTGCTGAGTGTATGTTTCAGGCTGGCTCTGCCCATCTGGCGAAGGTGTCAGGTTGCCAGGGCCCCTTCACCTGTTTGACCGGCTTCTTTTGTCTGCTCCCAGAAGACAAAGGGGCAGGGCAGGTTCTGAGGATGGGGGCGATGAGCCGCGGGCTCACCTGATGCTGTAGAGGACGTTCCCACTGCGGGAGATCCGCAGCAGCTTGTTGTCCGTGGTGATCTCGTGGAAGTGGGCCCCCTTCTCGTTCGCGAAGAACAGGTCGGGTTTCCAGATGGAGTCCAACATGGACGGGTCCAGGTCCAGGGAGTCGTCGGGGTATTCGTTGTAGGCCAGCCGGGGGTCGTTCCACTGCTGCCGCAGAAAGATGTTGACCCTGTAGTCCTGCAGCCGGGGGACAAGGATTAGGCCCTGGGTGCCAGCCCTCCAGGGCGCAGGTGCTTCCAGCCTGTGTCCCCCAAACCCGCTGGAGGATATGGTTCCAGTGTGGTGGCAGCTTAGTGGGAGTCGGACATCAAGTCTGTGCATCAGGCAAAACCATAGGAGTCCTAACTATCCCAGAACGTTCTCTAACTGCCCCATCGCGTATATTCAGCTTGAACTGAGATTATTTAAATGTTATTCTTTCTTTTATGAAGTTAAAAAATATAAAGTTCAGGCTGATATAAGTGCCTGTTTTCATCCTGTTAGATAAGAGAGGTAGTATGTTACAGATAAAGTTGGAGTCCCCCTTTTATCATCAGCCTGTCAGTGCAGTAATTCTCACGTGCATTCTGGTTTGAGAGCTGCTAGTCTAGACAGATTGAGGGACAAGAGGAAAGACTAAAAGCTGATGCCTGGAACTAAAGTCCTTAGTTCCCATTCACAACCTGCGAAGCAATTAGTGGTAGGGTTAGGTCTCCAAGGCTGGGAACTGGGTAATAAAATGAAGAAATAGTTGCAAAGAAAAGTTTTAAATTTTTGTTAGTGAGGCATTATGACACTGCAAGTAAAATTTAGGGTACATCTGAGATTTTCCCAGGAACAGGACCATAGTTCTCTCTATTGGATTCCCATAAGAGTTTAAAGTCTTCCAAGATGAATAACCTCAGCTCAAATCCAACTTTAAATGCTTTCCTTCAAGACATGAGCTCCACTCATGAGCACCCACTGCCGATCTTTCCTGGAAGGTGCCATAAATGAGATGTGCTGTATTTCCTTTGTGGTGATGCTCCTAAATGCTGATTACTCAATCTGTC